AAAAAAAAAAAAAAAATGAACTGAAAAAATTACGGATCAATAATCAAATAATTTATTCGGAAATAAAAGCAAAAAATATTCTTAGAAAAAAAAAAAGTGAAAACCGACCAGCTTTTTGTTGTCATTTCCCTTCTGAATCTGGTCGGTCCAAGCATCAACGGTGTGGCAGCCGATGACCTGTCCTTCAGCTTCCGACGACGACGCCATTTTCTTTTTCCCTTTTTTGTTCCCTCTCTCTCTCTCTTAGAGACTTACCCAACAAGAAAACGCTTTTTTCTGCTCTTGAGTCGAGGCGTTTGATATTCTCTCTGTATTTATAAAATAAAATTAGTAAAATGCTCGTGTATTACATTGTGCTTGTAATTTTTTTTATTAAAAAATAAAATTAATAGAAAAAGTAGTTGAAAATTTAAATACTTGATAATATATATATATATAATATTTTAGTATGACACTTGTTACTTGTGCAACTTACGTATGTTATATTATAATAATTTATAATATTTTTAACTTATAACATATAACTACACTAGACATGAATATATTAATTGAGAAATAATTTATTTTTTACTTAATTTTAATTAATATTATTTTATTGTTGTAAAGATAAGTATAATTTATTTATTAATATAGATGTCAAATCGAAGCTCGTCAAAAGATGATTAATTTGATACATTATATATGTAAAACCGATAAGAAACACAAAAATTATCAACTTTTAAAATATATTTACAATTCAGTAGTTATAATAGGAAATAATATTAAAATACAATTAATACATCTAAAATGATTATAAATAAATCAACTCCGAACCTAATTAGTTTTGGATTGGAATTAAATTAAAATATATCCAAGCCAAATAACAAAACATGAAATGTTGACACCTAGGATCTGAAACATGCGAGTCTGTCACTTAAGCTCAGCACATTCAGGAATTATATATATGAGGATGGGGATAAGTGGATATATGTTGGGAAGTATGGATTGGTACAGATGTGACATATTCATTTTTTTTTTAATTTTTCTATTCTTTTTTATTATTTCTCTACTATACATATAGGCTATGTTTGGTTATTAGCGTTTTGGCTAAATCTTAGCGTTTTTTGTCCCTTTAGCGGTTGTGAGAGTTTGACCACCTAATAAATACTGTTTGGTAAACTAGCGGTTCATAATAGCGTTTTTTGTTGAAACGCCATTTTTGAATCCGCTGCTGGGAGCAGCGTTTTGTATATGGCTTTTTCATATTGGTGGGACCATTTTTAACTTTTTGGTTTTTCTTTGTTTTTAACTATTTTTCTTTTATTTTTTTAACTAATAAACGAAACATATGATGTGCATATATATATTTATTAACGTTTGAATATTATATTGAACTAGTACAATGTTCGTGTATTATACGGATGCTTGCTATTTTTTTTTAAAATTTAAAATTAATGAAAAAAATTAGCTGAAAATTTAAATAATTTTTATATATATTATATTTTAAAACAATATTTGTTACTTGTGCGATTTATATATGTTATATTATAATAATTTTTTTATCTTATAACATATAACTACATTAAATATGAATATATTAATTAAGAAACACTTTTTTACAAACCGTTAATTTTACCAAACACTTTTTAACAAGCCGCTAACATTATCAGCTGGTCAAAACAGCTAACACAATCCGCTGGTCAAAACAGCTAATTCAATCCGCTAACAGCTAACAGCTAACAGCTGATTACCAAACAAGGCCATAACCCAACAACTTTTGGCTTTTATGGTGTTGACACATGTCTTTTATGGACCAAAGAGACCTTGTTTGTCCACTTGATTTACTTATTTGCCATTGGGGGTTTAAGGCCTTTTCTGACCTTTTTGCTCCAGCCGCAAAAAGGTCTTTTCTCCACTTCTTTAGAGTATGATTGGATACAAAATTTCTCAAAATATCCCAATATTTTTAACTCAACTATTTTTTTTTAACTCAACTTTAACTCAACCATATAATCATCAATATTATCAATATAATTAAATAATATTATCAATCATTCATACACACCACATCAACTTTAATTCAATATTCATCTACTCACATAATTTTAACTAACCATCACTTCAAAACTTCTCTCTCCTACTTTACATCAAATCAACTTTAATCATTTTATTTTAAATATTATTTTAATATATCCACTAACAATTAATCATACCAATTTTTTCAAAACCCTACAAAGCTCTCATTTTCCAATTTTCACCGTTACCATACATTAAAGGAGCAGCATTTCATGGAAAGTAGATTGAAATGATGACACGAAGGTATTTTGTTGCTTTTAATTTACTAATATATTCTTATTTCATATTACGTTTTTTTTGTTTTGTAATTTTTAGGGTTTCCGTAGACCCGAACAGAGTAGTTCCCCCACCAGCAGCCACGGCCAGAGCTCCCTTCGCGTCGCACTCCTCAAGCCCCGTCTACTCCACCACTCGAGTTAACTGAAAATTATCAAATTTCTTCATTTTTTTTTTTTCAATTTTGACTGCGAGTTTTTTTCAGATTCAACTATAGGAAAAGTGTGTACATGTAGATCGAAATTTGATCTGTTGTGAAGCTCGATTTGAGTTTATTTTCAGACGTCATTACAGCAACGAATGAATTTTTTTGGTAGATTCTTTTTTAATCTTCAACTTGGTAACATATTTATGCACATTGAGAATGTAGCAAATTGTTTCATTTGTTGCTTTTGAACTGATGGTATGGTGCAAACTGTATAAAACATGATCCCCCTTGCTGTTTCAGTTTTCCTCTTCAGTTTATAATGAAATAAAATGTTTAAGGGTTTGGAATAGGGACTTAAAAAAACTAAAGTAAATTTGATTTTATGGGTTAAGTTAAATTTCGTTTTGATTCAAGATTTTTGAGAGAACATAAGCTATGTTTCATAATGGGTTGTCTTGTTTTTTTTTTTTTT